TTCAGGGACAGATTCGATTTCCCAGAACCTTTTCACAGATTCTTCCAAGGACGAAAAGTTAGTAGTCGAGCAAAAAAGGGAAACGACCGGGGAAGGGCGTGGTGAGTCAATTTTTCCCATCAGGACGTATCCGAAAATGGTATTGATGGCATCAGGTTCCCCGTTAGCCCCAGAAATATGCCCATTCAGCAATATTTTCGAAAAAACATCAGCACCTAATAATAGGTCGATATTTCCTGGACTATGAAACTGTTCATCGGCTAAGTTGAGATTCGAAAGATACGAAAAATTATTCGAAAGACCGGTTGAGGGTAAATCTCCACAGATTTTTGGAAGGACAACTGCGTCAACATTTAAAATTGACGAAGGATTTCGGAATGACCGAATTGAAATAGTAACACCTCCATTGTTAGCGAGAGTATTCATTGAGCCTAAGCCATTGAGTTTTAGAGAAAAATGAGTCGAAGTTATACCTAAACGATTGATGCATTTTTTCGTTATAAATGACGTCATACTGCCGCTGTCTAACAAACACCGGAATGGTTGATAGTTACCCCAACTATCGAGAACTTCAACACGAGCAGTCGACAGCAGAACTCGAGAATCAGACGATGCGAAACCAGCATGAGTTGACGCAACATTGGAGGAGTTTTGAGATGTACTTGGAGAATTGGAATTGTCATTACCTGACCGAAGTGGAGAAGTATTGGGGACGTGATCCGAAGTTACGACAATGGAAGGAACTTTTTTATCGAAATGCAAAGATGTATGATGACGTAATCCACACCGATGACAAGTGATGAGTGATTGGCAGTTTTTGAAGCTATGTGTATTACTCAAACAATTGATACAAAGATGAAGATTCTTTGCAAATTGATAGCGATCATTGGGAGATTTTTTGATGAATTCAGGGCACCTGAACAGCATGTGATCTAACTTACAGTTTACACAAACAGCGGTTTTATCTCGAAGTGAATTATTATTTGTTTGTATCAATAATGAAGTTGAAGTACGTGGAGAAAATGATGGTTTTTGATACTCTGATCGTTTTTGACTTGGTTTTGTCTGACGAGATACATTCAAATTAGCTAATGCAGAGCAGTGTTGTGAAAGAAAGTCAAATAATTTTTTGAAAGTTGGTGAGTCTGATGAATTATGAAACAGTTCAAACCGAGTTGCTACTGAAACATCGATTCGTTTAAGAAGCATTTGAACCAGAATGAAATCCCACTGATCTGTAGGAAATTTTAGAATTTTCAAGGCAGCAATGTTTTCGGCGAATATGTCGAGCAAATTTCGCAAATCTTGAGGATTTTCACCATTTTGTTTTGGCGAATTCTCGATAGCAGCCCAATGTGCAGCTGCAATCAATCGCGTATTCTTATATCGATTATTGAGTGTGTTGTATGCAATTCGATAATTATTTGAAGTCAAAGGCAATGTCTTGACTAAAGCTAAGGCTGGACCCTTGAGTGATGCTAGCAAATAATTGAATTTTTCAATTTCACTCAATTTTGTATTATTTTCAATTAAGGCATCGAACATATCAATAAAAGATGGAAAGGAGGTTGTATCACCACTGAAAATAGGTAACTGAATTTTTGGAAGTGATACATTTGAAGAACTCTCAATTTGAGGATCTGAATTCGTAGATGGAAGCCGAGCATAAAAAGATTTGATCGTATGAAACATCTTTTCGAACTCCTTCCGAACATAATCTTCTGTATCGAATGCTGCATCATCATTATCTGCAACTTCACCCATGATGATGTTGTGACCTTTAAAAAAATCATCTTTGATTGAATCTATATTTTCATACCAAACATTGAACATTGCGATTGATTCAGAATCGAATGACGACATAGCATTATTTGCTACATCAGCAAGTTCTTCAAGTTTTTTCATTTGACTTTTCCGAAGCAATTTTGCTTTCTTAACTTTTTCTGTTGACATTTTGATCGAGAAAGAAGCGGTGAAAATTCGAAATTGTAAATAAAGAATTAATTAATGAATACGCAGAATTACACGCAGAGTTTTGCGCGAGCCACTCAGTAAGAGACGCGATAGCCAGCGTACCACCGATTTCAGTGCGCAGTGCAGTACTTGGACGGTATCGAAGATATATTTTAGCATACGACGTACTGAACAGTGTCCCCTACTACTGGCCTAATAAGTTGAAAAGAGATCGCTAATAAATGAATGATGTCGTATGATAATTTGAACAAGGACTCTTTTTTTGTCTATATATGAGGAGTCTCCTTGCTCGTTTGTTTTGATGGTTTTTGCTAGATAGAAAAAAGGAAAAAATAACCTGTGATAATTTCACGAAATGAATGAAATTTTGATAAAAGCAATGCAACTCCGTGAAATTACTTCAATCTCAAATGACTTATATACACAGAATCTGCCATCCGGCTCGAAGGACCAAAAATGTTATGTAAGGGGGTTGAATCCCTTACCCGTAAAGTCTCAGGAGAGAAAAAAATGGACTGGAGGCAAATTGAGCGTGGTCTTTAAGATCTTACCTTATGGTATTTCGTGGAATTATGGTGTGGTGACGGGCCGGCCGGCACTCTGGACTGGACGTATGGGATGAATGGTCTTCCCTCAGGAACTATCTGGTACCACTCGCGTCACGAGAGACAACTAATCCTTAATTGAACACTTAATGTTCCATTAACGTCTGGAGGACGGATATTTTGTTATTGTTGAGAAAATTTTACTTGGAAAGATCCAAGGCGATCGAATTGAAAATGTCGGATTCGATGTAAAGTTCTGATTCTTTTATCCGCGGTGGCCACTTGGAGGCGCTGCATGTAAAACCTTAAAGACCTGATGCGCGAATTCAATTTTGAGATATACAGTGAGCCAAACACGGATAGCAGATAATGCATAGAAATTCATTATTATTTTAAGTTTACATAAAAGGACATAACAAAGGAGATGGACGGAACACTCGTGTTATATCAAAACGGGAGACGTTACAAAATGAATTCGTCTAATGACTGTGCAGGCTCGAACGAAGATTTACAACTTTAACTGGCGGATGTATAAAGTCATGCTATGTTTTCCATATCTATCACGAACAACGGTACTGACTTCACGGTAAAATTTACTTCGCCGGCTGGTGTACAAAAATCACCTCGTTCTTTTTTCTTCAGTCAATCTCTAGCTTCCCAGTAAAAATAAATCCAAAGCGCACATCATTCTGCGTATCATTGTCAGTTTGGTCACATCTCGTCATTTCCAAATTTCCGGGTTTTTGAACTTTTTGTCAAAGTCAATAAAATTACTCTTGACCTAGATCATCAATTATCAGAACAACAATCACGGAACAATCAATCTGTTCATAGATTGGTCAGATTTCAATTCTACCACACTTCATCTCATCAATATCAGATTGTTGACGAATCCTATTCGACTAAAGTTGAGCGGACTTGAAAAGCGAAGATAATGTGGCCTCTTTCCTACCAACTGATTGTTGCCCTAGCCTCAATAATTTGAAACGTCAAAATATAGTTATTGTAATATCATGAACAATAACAATGGATCTAATTATATGAATATTCATCTGAAAATGGGAATAATACTGGGTGATCAGGCGACATCACTTTATAGCAAACACTATGTGAAGCGAAGTGCCCTTTCCCAATTCATATCAACAGGAGAAATCGTAACATCATAGAATGATAACAATACCATCTTTCATCAATTCACACTGAGTTGAATTATTGTTATGTGAAAACTTTTAAGCAGTTTCCTCAACAGTTGATATTTCCAAGGTTTGATTGATATTCTTCAAATGATATTGACAATTTGCTATAGATTGGTGAGGATTTCACTGTTGTTAATAAGTTTTGAAACTAATAAGGAAGTATAAGCCAATGGTAGAGTTTGTCACTGATCAATATGTAAAAGTGATATCAAGCAGCAACTTTCATAGACTTCATAATATACCGTTAAGTTAAAAATTTCAATTTCTGAAACAATCACTTGAATATAGTACGCCACTAATGTTAGTTCCTACCAACAACATTTCTGGTCCCCGACCCGTCCCGCACGGTCTTTGTGGCGTTATCTATGTAGACAAAATAAATACAGTGCTTCAGTATATGATCTGTCTGTCTATGATCTAAGAAAGGAATATAATATGACCAAACAACTACTCACTTCAGGAATCAGCCTGTACAGGGTGTTACTCAATGATATCAAATACAAAGTATACCCAAAATATCACATTAATATTTAGAAATGTTTAAATACGTATATCGACAACTAAGTTGCCATCCTCAATAGAACTGAGAAGGAAATTGAAATTGACTGACTCTATAGTATCCTTCGGGATAATCTCCAGGAATTACAAGTGGGTGACATCCGTATGACGATTTCCACATTCTCTAACTGTAGTTGAAACGCGTAAAGCTAACATGTGAGGTGGTGGTGAGTATGAGCCGTCCTTTGGAGGAGACGTTCATACGGCAGTCGTGAGGTCATGGATGTAGGACTCGTTAATAAAAATGCTTACCTCTGGTTGGAACAGCAGAGGATTCGGCAAAATTTGAGCGGAGGTGGGTGTGCTCTCCAGCATCGGTGTCTAGCATGTTCAGTCTTGGTAGTAGAAAAAGGCCAACGTTGAAGAAAAAAAGCTAGTCTAGTTCATATTATCTACTTGAAACGATTGTTATTCGGCATGCTTCGTGAAAACTGTGAAAAGTGGTTGTTAAGGTTATGAAGAGAAATGAGTTCAATGTGATCACTGGTTCATGAAATCCAAAATTGGTAGTTTATAAGAGTTTTGAATAAAACGGGAAACTATCATTTCATTATCGAGGAGAGGTAAATAGTCACAAGGAAAACTAACTAGGTATATGTTGGCATGTATAAAATATTAGCAAGAAAATTATATGCATATTATTTCCTCGCATTTTGAAATGCCGTTTTTCTAGCAAGACATAAATATTTGTTCACGTAGAAATAACAATGCTCAAAAACCTACTCACCTCCTTCGATGTCTTGAGGAGACGAACTTTTTGGTGAGTCAATTTGGTCAGACGATTTTCCTGTCACTTCAGAAGAACCATCCAATCGATGCTGCTTGAACAACATTAAATCACCTCCCTCATTCTTATCTATGTTATAAACATATAGTACGCCATCTTCAGTTGCGACGAGTAATCTCAGCTCCTGCTGGATTCTACAAATTCAGATGAATATTACTAAAAAGTATCATTGAAAATATATGTAATACAACCCTTGGCTTGCTACATAAAGGTAAAACATCGACTTTTCTCATGAAAACCATATACGAACCTTAAGCAAATATATTTCCTGGAATGAGAAAATTTACCATTACTCTCAACGAAAGAGTGCCTGATTGAATATCATTGTTTAACGCGAATTCCATACCATTTCTCTTTTGCTTTTTTTTAGAAGACATTATTAATTTGTTGAAATAGAATCGATCAAGGAAACATTCAAGTTGACGACTGTGAGTCATGTGTTCAACAGGTTACGAAAGTGATCTCGCTCTCTGTATATTTTTAGTACACGGATCAACTTCTGAAAGAACAAAAATAACCAAAATTCATTCAGCAACAGAAAGCATGCTATAATAACGGCCATTCGAGTACAGAAACAAAAGCGAACTAGTTCGTCCTTTGTAAAAACTTCACAAACGATAAGATTTCCACAAAATTCTTAAACACACAACATGTTTCGCTAACACAGTAGCTTCGTCAGGTGATATACTGGTACAATGAACTATTCGTCCTTACCGAGAGAGGTATCTTTGTTTCACCTATATAATATTTTTCACAAACACAGATATTTATTGACGACTGTTCCACTTTCTTGGTTTCGTTTGAGTACGGAAGCAAATTCGTACCCGAAACGCATACATAAGTAAAATTTCATATTTTTTCAGAACACCTATTTCTTCTTCTGCAGACATTTGATCAAACAAAGTAGAATAGAATAGATCTTTATTTAGCATCGATAGCTATTACATAACCATACATGAATATTACACATTCGAATATTACACAGTGTCACTGACTAGCGATTGGATTTTTCTCGTAGGTTTCTAAAGAAGAAATTTCAAGCGTTGTGACATTTTGGGCGAATCATCGGATTCACCTAGTACCTAAACTGAAATAATTCGAACATTTTTCGGATAGAAAACCCCAAAATTCTAGATAAAGGAATATTTCACTTCCTCGGATAACCTACAAACAGTATGAATAGATGTATTGAGAATGATAAAATGAAAAATAAAGTATGCCAACGTACAAAAAGTGTTATTGCACTACTTATGAAGTATTGTCCAATCGACTTGCGAAAGGACAACATTCGAGTGCGAGAAGTGAATATAAATATGAAGAAATACATTCCCTCCATATTCTCAAAAATATTTGAATATGCCTATCTAGAGAGACTAAATCGTCACTTGAATCAGAATCATATAATAATTGACAACCAGCATGGTTTCCAAGCAAACAAATCGACAAACAGTGCCGTCCACTCCTTTTATGAAAACCTAATCTGGTTGATGCAGGCGAGTGCCCTGTTGGGATCTTCTGTGACCTCAGCAGGGCATTCGACTGCGTCAACCACAACATCCTTATAAATAAATTGATTAGAATTGGTATTGAGGGACTTGCCCTGGAATGGATAAAATCTTATTTGCATGCACGTCGCCAGTACGTTAGTCTTCCGGGTGCGTCCGAGCAATCAGTGACTACCTGTAACTCGAATTATCTTGATATCAGTGTAGGTGTTCCTCAAGGGTCAGTGGTGGGCCCAATATTGTTTTTAATGTATGTAAATGACATCATTAGAGCGTGCCCATCTATACATTTTACTCTGTATGCGGACGATACATCCATACTTATTTCAGAAAAATCTAATTATTTCTTTGAAGAAAAATGTAATGAAGTTCTTTCTAGACTATATGATTGGTTCTGCATGAATTCACTACATCTAAATGCAGAAAAAACACAGTCAATACATTTTCATCAAAAACAAAAACAAGTACCAAACATACATTTGAATATCAATAATAAAGTGTTAGAAAATGTGTCATGCGTGAGGTTTCTAGGCCTGTACATTGATGAGTGTCTTGACTGGAGGAGACACTGTGAGTCAGTAATTTCAAAACTCAAGTCCGTCATTTATCTTCTTAGAAACATGAGATCAGTTTTAACGGAAAAACAATTGATAATGTTACATTATGCACAGGCCGAATCCCGACTAAGATACGGAATATGCTTTTGGGGATCATCCACTTGTTTCAATGATGTCTTCATCTCGCAGAAAAAATTGATTCGTTGTATCACAGGTGTCTCTCGTACCACTAGTTGTCGAAGTTTTTTTAAATCTCATGAAATTTCAACTTTACCGTGTTTCTATATATCTTTGAGGTATGTGTTTTCATATTTTCTAACATAACCTCTTTTAGAACTAACAAACAAATTCATTCTATCCACACAAGACAGCAGAATTACCTACATGTGCCATTTTCAAGAACTAATCTTTTATATAGATCACCTACTGTGACTGAGCAAAGGCTGTTCAATAAACTACTGGCCGACATTAAATCATGTGTTACATTGGAAGCATTCAAGCAATGTCTTAGGAAATACCTAATAAAGGGTGTATTTTACTCCTTAGATGAATTTTCAATTTTGAAGTCTTAGTTTTAGTTCTATTTTAGTTAGTTAGTTTTAGCTTCAGTAATCGTCTTTGACAAATTCTATACATGTTTCTGCATGTCACAAAGAAAATAAAGTATTATTATCATTATTATTAATATTATTATTATTATTAATATTATTATTATTATTAATATAGAGATCTTGCATGCGACGAAATATCTGACGTTACTGATGATATTGGCATGGGACAATTACTAATTTCAAAAAATAACTTTCCAAAGAATCAAATTAGGGAAAAATAAGAAATTTCATAGCCTTTGTACTACGCAACTGGTAAGTACGATAGTATTCGAACCTCTGTGATTTCACCTAATAATTTGTTTTTGTTTTCAGACTGCTTTGGAGTTCAAGGATTGCTTCCCCTGGGATGACTGCATTAGTTCAAATAATACATGGACTGCATTGAGGTAAGTTATGACCATGGATTTGTGTGAAAACCTAAATGTTTACTTCAATTTCAATCACAAACGTCCCCAAAAACATAAGCAGTGGCCCACCAACCCAACAGGTACAAGAACTGGATGACATACAGATAATAGTATGTTATGTAATTCACACAAGACATTACATATTGTGAATTTTTGTAATAAAATGTGAACAAGAAGCCTGGATGATACTTGACTCAGCACAAAAAGAGGAAACTATACCATTCTGATACTCGAGTTAGAAAACGGTTAAATTTTCATTTAAAAGCATCAATTCCAATATTACTCGCATCTATTTGATCCCAAAACGACTCCTGATGATTAGGATGAAAATATTCACAAAGAAAACTCAATCATAGTTACATTATTCCAAAAATGATTGTAACTGCTATTTTAAATTATGGGAAAATCATGAATAGCTTGAACACTTTTTGGATCCTACAGAACTCCTTTTGAATCAATGCAATATCCATGAAATTTAGTTCAATATTTAGGTAAAAAGTATTGGAGAATCGAAAAATTATGATGAAATGACAATTTCGCCAGTTACGTGAAATTTGTGAAGTAGCCAGAAACGTTTATTTTACATAATTTCGTAGGGTGTATAGTATCTACACTTCCCGCTAAATATCACAATGATATGTGAATTACTTTAAAAGTGCTAGGCACAAAATTGTTTTGAAATTTTCAAATAAGACACCCTGTAACTCAGACAGAAGACAAATTTTATCTAGGTAGGTTCATTGGATTATCCTGAAAATTTGGTTACTCTAATGAGCGTTTGTGATCTAACTATTCAAAATATCTTCAGCGATGCAGCGTTGCCACTTTTACCAAAAAGTAGCATCATCTTTGTTATTTCAAACACCCTGTATTTCAGTGCGTTTTTAGATTCTTCTGAAAGAGCTGATTTCATCAATGCATCACACTTGGGGTCTAGCAGGAATTATTACAGAGATATAGGGTGTTCAAAATCGAGATTATAATTACTGGTAATATATTCATACAGGGTGTTCTGAAATCGAACCGATAAATACAGTGGGCAATAGAAGAGAAAAAACAGAAGAAAATGAGAGGTCAATCTTGGCAATTAGAATATTTTGGAAAATATTGGAATCTGGAAGTAGTGCACCTATGCCGCTCTCAGCGCAATCGACCCCTATCTAACCCATGCATTACCCATTTAACCTACCCTTGTGGGAGGATGAATCCACCCTCTAACCTACCTTTTCGAAATGACCAAAAAGGCCTTCGGTGACAGATGACACGTGACAGGTGACCGATAACCTAACCTAACATTACTCCTCTAACTCACCCTTGTAGGGGATCAATCTACTCTCTAGCCTACCCTTTCAAAATGGCCAAAAGGGCCTCCGATGAGAAATGACCGATGATGACCGATGACCGCATGGCATTCGATGACAGATGACACGTGACCTAAACTAACATTACCCCTTTAACCTACCCTTGTTGGGGGGAAAGAATCCACCCTCTAACCTACCCTTTCAGGATAAAAACATATACAGAGCGAGCTGAAGACCAGAGGCAGATCAAATATCTTGTACCAAATTGAATATTAAAAAACTTGAAGGGTGAGCTAAAGGATCAGAGCCAGATCAAATCTTATTGATGGAAATTGAAAAAGATATACAGTGCGTTTGAACAGAAATATACAGAGCGACCTACAGAACGAGAGGCAGAAAGCAGATACGGAAATTGAAAAAATATACAGTGTGTTCGAGAAGAATGAATATAAGAAAAAATATATACAGATCGACCTACAAAGCCAAAGGATCTTGTGCCGAATGAAATGTTAAAGAAAACATATAAAGGATGAGCTGAAAACCAAGAGGCAGATGAAAAATTTGAATAGCAAATGACCCTACAACTGAGGTTAACAGACATTTAACGTATGCCAAGTGACCTTCCGGTTCTTCCGACTACGTCAAAAGCAAACGCTCAGGTTCAACTGGAATTCAACAGATGACAAACCCAGTCAGCCGATCCTTTCTTCATCAACCGCGAAATGTATCGAACATCTCTTCACCGGAACCAAT